AGAGTTAGTGGGACATCCAAAAAAGAAAAGTTAGCAAAGTTGTAAGGGACGGAGGGAGTATGAGTCAGTAGGTGAGGCGTGTGACCTGGCCGACACTAAGTGGACGATCTTGCCACTTGATCTCCCATACCTCTATCATTAAATGCACTTCCCGCCAACTTGCTAGGTTTCCCGCCAACCTTGGGCTGACCCTTCATGGATGACGCTCTTCATTACCAAGTGTTATGTTCAGGCCGTTCGGGAATGGCCGAACGAGAATTGATCTTACGACAATTCCTTGTTCCTGACTGTATCCGTTGGGCTCCGCTATACTTGGGTTTCTTAGTGATATTTTAGGTGGGACCCTAATATCTCAACAACATCTATTGTAGTTGTATGAGAAAATTCTTTAAATAGGAGTAAAAACATTTTGAAATTCCAAAATAGGAGTATCATGTTTTTTATTCCTTGAATAAGAGTAATCTGCCAAGTTTGGAAGAAAATGCCATGTTAAAAAGCCTTGTAATGCCAAACTTGGCAAAAATTTACTCCTATTCAGGGAATAAAAAACATGATACTTCTATTTTGGAATTTCAAAACGTTTTTACTCCTATTTAGGTCAATTTCTGTAGTTATATTGCAAGAAATATGTAAGAAATTCAAAATATCATTATACTACTTATCTAATTTGTAGTAGATTAAATTTTGAATATTTACTTGGAATATTTTCCTCTCTTTTGCATTGTGAGAATGGTTACTAAAATTTGTTATGGTTGTAAACAAATTATTGTTATGATTATAATACGAGTATATTATAAATCACGACAGTACTTTCTCCAAGGGCTAGATGTTTGAACATCTGTGGAATTGGTGGAATAATATCAAGCATAACGGTAGAAAGCTTAAAAAGGATTATGGCGAATTGGCGATGTGACTTAAATCCGAAAAGGATGCAATGGGTTAATTTAAAACAGAGAATTTCATTAAGACTGAGGGCTTGTTTGCAATCACTTAAGAAAAGTGGTTTTGTTTTTTTTAAGAAAAAAACACTTATTTTATCAAACACTACCTACTTTTATTTTCTTGACTTCCTTGTAGAATCTATTTTTTATTTTTTCTATTACACAAAAAACACTTATTTTACCAAACACTACCAAGTTTTACTACTAATCACTTTTTCCCAAAAAGTGTTTTTATTTAAGCACAAGTAGTTGCAAACAAAGCCTCAGATGGGTGAGGCCGGAGTATATTCCAGTAAGTATTACTCCATAGATCATAGACAAATCTTTATGTCAGGGCGGCTTGACGGGATGTTCCGTTCAGCCGAGGGCATTTCGGGCACTTCCCGGTGGAATTTTTTGATGAAATTTTTTGAACATGTTCTTCTTGAAGTCTAGTTTATCCATACCAAATTTCAGCTAAAAATTCAATTGGGAAGGCACTCAAATAATTTCTTGAAGTTAACTGGGCAGTTTATATGTATGAACTGCCCAGTTAACTTCAAGAAATTATTTGAGTGCCTTCCCGGTTGCATTTTTAGCTGAAATTTGGTATGGACAAACTAGACTTCATGAAGCATACGCTCAAAACATTTCATCAAAAAATTACACCGGCAAGTGCCCGAAATGCCCTCAGACGGAGCATCCCGTCAGGCCGGCCTGACATGAAGACTACTCATAAATCATATATTCATACCAGTCTTCTATTATTTTAAGTTGGGTATTTAACTTATTTTATTCATAAATATTTAGTTTGGGAGCTGCACTTCCCAATGTGGAGGCCATAAATAGAATTAGGGGGTGTTTGGATCTGATTCTTAAAACTGTTTCTGCTCCTTCAGAGAACAGAAGCAGAAGCTGGAGTGCTTGGGTAAAAGTGCAGAAGTGATTCTGGTGCTCTAATTTACTCCTAGAATCAGTTTTTTTAGAAGTTGGGGGTGACCAACTTCTGAAAACTTATTCTGATTCTGCTTCTGCTTAAAAAAAGAAGCAGAAGCAGAATCAGTTTCAAACATCCCCTTGCTCATAATATTTTGGGTTCTAATATGAACATAAAAGGGCCCACACAAAATTATAAAATTTGTTTCGATCCAACTCATGACAAGCCCATATTCTTTCAGCATGTGTGGCCCAAACTGACCCATCTAAGATCCTTAGTCAAAGCTAGGTAAAGAAAGGAAAAACTATTTCTCTGCTCATAAGTGCAGGCGTACATTAATCATTTATTTTTTTTAGCACAATTATTGGTGATGGCCGTGATGTGATATATAGTAGGACTAGGCATATCGTTTTATCGATTTAGTTCGGTTTGGAACGGGTTGGGAGAATTATTATCAAACAAAAACCATACTATTTTTCAGTTTTGGTTTAGTTCGTTTTGATTCGGTTTGGATTTGTTATTTTTTAATAAAATATGAAGGATTATTGTTCGAATTTCGTTACTTCGGTTCGGTTTTGTTCGATTTTTATCGATTTCGGTTCGATTCAATTTAACTAGTAGCTGAATCCTTCAGAGTTAATGATATGCTAAATCCTTCAGCTACTAGTTAATGAATTCTAGACAACAATCAAACTAGTACTACGTAGCCACTTGTAGCTGAATTCTAGATAACAATCAAACTACGACTGAACATTACTTTAAAGTCATTTTAAGAGTCTGATTTTGAGGAAACTGCCGGTTTTTTATTTTGGTTAATGAAAAATGCACATAAATATCATTAACCAGTAGCTGAAGGATTCAGTTACTAGCATATGCTCATCTGCATGGATAGTTGGATACAAGCAAAGTATAATATTGACTCATAGAGTCATATATAGGTAGACCAACATTCCTTTTTCTCGGTCTACTTATAATAAATTAAAGTATTCAAAATTAAATAAACCTTAATCACACTTAATTTATACCATTTAATTTACTATTTTCCCAAGTGAAACAATAATGGACGGATGACTTTGGATGAAAACAATAATTGTGTTGTTCATCATTAAATAAATATATGTTCTACCAAACTCTGTGATTTTGTTCAATCTAATCTAAATAAATATTTGGAACGAAAAATACCAATGATGAATTTATATGACGGCCCGTGTGTGAAACTAGTTAATGATATGAAAAGTATTAGTCAACACATTATTTTCCAATTAAATCAACCCAATAATGGCGCTCTTAATGCAATTTCTATCTTGCCAATATTCATTTAGATATGCGTATAATTTATTAAACTATTACCAAAGTTAGGTTATTATATCAAAGGTATCATTAAACAATATTCCATGGCAATTGACTAATTGTTACGCATAACAAAATATCTTTAATTTTGGAAAAATTGACAAGAATAATCTCACCTTTCATTGGTCTTCTCATAATAATCTCACATTTACGTAATTCAAGAATAATCTCACTTTTGCACCTCATCTTCTTTCATCGGACTCTGACCTATTGATGACCTACAAAGGTGGGATTATTTATATAAGATTTTTTTTAAAAAAAAAGGTCCAATGAAAGAAGATTAAGTGCAAAGGTGGGATTATTATGGGATTATGTAAATGTGGGATTATTATGAGAAGACCAGTGAAAGGTGAGATTATTCTTATCAATTTTTTCATTTACTCCCTACGTCCCCTTTTAAATATCCCGGAAGAGGGTGGCACGAGTTTTAAGAAAAATGAGTTTGTGTGGTTGATATTAATTGATAAAGTAAGAATAAAGTAAGAATGATTTTGAGCCACACAAACTTTACCAAATAAGGTATGAGACAATTAAATAGGGACATCCCAATATGTTAAAACGGGACATTTAAAAGGGGACGTAGGGAGTATTTTTTAATGAAACATCCGACCATTCTAGGTTTGTATATTAAAGTAGAAACAAAATCAAAATCAGTTTTCAAAAGCTGGTCACCCCTGGCTTCTAAAATAAATGACTCTAGGAGTAAATTTGAACACCATAATCACTTCTACACTTTCACCTAAACACTTCAGCTGCTTCTGCTCCCTGCAGAAGCAGTTTTAAGAATCAGATCCAAACATCCTTTAACACTGTGTTTGGATGGAGTGTCAGAGAGTGTTAGTAATGGAAGTGTTAGTAAGTGTTGGTGGCGGCCCGGAAGGGAAGGTAAGTGTAAGTGTTAAATATAAATTAACCCTGTTTGGAAGAGTAAAAAAATGGAGTGTTAGTAAAGGAAGTGTTTTCACATAAATTTACACAAGTATCCTCATGCTTTTAAAATGGAGTATATACACTACTTAATTCGATAAACTAACGCCGGCGCAAATTGCACTAGCTCAGCACTAATTCAATAAAAAAATGGAAACTGCTAATCGATCGAAGGTTGACCAGGAGTCAATCGTGAAAAAAAACCCGATCCATATATCATGAAAAATTGTCCGATTCCAATAAAATAAATGGAGAGAAAAGCGTGATCTACAAACAGATGGTGCAAAACGTAGAAACATATAAGGAGTATATAACGTCTGTCTCTCAGAGAACTAAGATGAAGGCAGAAGATGTTGACAAGGAGTGAGATGTTGCCGCAGAAGAGATTGCCGCAGAAGATGAAGGCAGACGAGCGGACGACCAAACAAAGGGCAGTAATTGTCAACACTTCAACACACTCCAAATTGGGGTGTTAAAAAAGTGGACAAATGGGGTGTTGGGGAGGTAATTACTAACACTTCTCAACACTTATTAACACCCTTTAACACTTCTTAATTTCTCTGCCAAACAGGTGTTAATATCAACACTTGTTAACACTTCCTTTACTAACACTCCCTAACACTCAATCCAAACATAGCACAAGAGTCTGATTTTCATCCTAAATAAATGTTAAAGAATAGGCCAAGGAATTATATACTCCGTACTACATATTGTTTTACAATCATTCAGTTTAGGATAAATACATCAAAAATGAAAAACCATGTATATTTTTCATAATATTTATTTGCATTTTTCATTAACTAAAATAAAATACCGGCAGTTTCCTAAAAATTAAACAGTTGAATAATTAACTCAAACAAGGAATACGGGGGGTGTAGTCCTAGTGGTAATGAAATACTACGTGAGAAATAAAACGGGACAGCCACCTACGGCGTGACCACCGAAACATTGTGGCCGCCAGCGACAAAGGCACAGCTTTGTTCCCGATTCTCAGAATCCGAATCGGAACGAAACAGCGTATTAGAGGAAGGGAGCGACGGAGAGAGGACCCTTCTCTCGCCTTGTGCTCTGCTCTCGCCGGCGGGCTTGTTGTTGCGTCTTCTTCCGGAGCTCGATTCCGCGGAACCGATCGGATCACTCCGGCGAGATTTTTTGTCCCGGGAAGGAAAGATACAGCCTTCCTTCTGTCTCCTTCTCCCGTACGGCTCTTTAGTGGTTTGATGATTCTCCCCATTCTTTTTTTGTTGTTTACTCTGTGGTTTGGATTAAATTAGTTGATCGGATTCTTCAGGTTTTAGTCGTCCTAATTTTTAGTTTTCCAGCTTTGGGAGAAACCAAACCCTAATCATCATCTAATAATGAACTCCTCTGCCGCCCAGATAGCCTCTGATATGATTCCTCCGCAATGTCCGGGTTCGCCTGCGGCTAGTGTTTCTCAAGAGCAAACCGGATACGTGTCTGGCGATTGTTCCCCCTCCAAAGCTGCTCTTGCCGCTACTGGGAATTTCTCCGTTTCTTCCTTGCAGAATGATACTGCTTCTGAAGCTCCGCGAGATGGCTCTGATAACAGTGATGGAGGCAGTAATGCCGTAAAAAAGCTGGCTTGGAACAAACCAAACGGTGTCATGGAGGTTGGTCCTGTGATGGGGGCCTGGTCTTGGCCTGCTCTCTCGGAGTCCACTAAGGCTTCACCGAAATCTGCTCCTTATGATTCCCCCAGAACTCCCTCTGATCGTCCAGCCGCTTTCTCTAAGGTTATTTTCAATTGCAAGCGACTGAATCTGTGACATTTATCCTTTTTCGGATTTATTGTCTTCTGTTACTTGTGTCTAAGGTTCTTTCAATTGTAATTTTAAATAGAACGCCATTGTACATAGCTTTAAAATTCTGATATATTTGTCAAAGATTTTATACTGTGAACTATGAAGATGTTCACTTTTTGTGGGTTATGTGTGCATATTTCAGGGCACCAGTGCTCCTACTACACCATCTCCTAAGCATCTTCATGCAAATAACACAACTTTAAATTCAACCCCAAACCATGTACCCTCTCGCCACAGATCTAATAAGCGTGCTGGAGGGAACTCAAGCAGTACTGCATTGGCTAATGGCAGTACATCTCAGACGCAGCCACTACATAATTCAGTGGTGGAGAGCGCACCTGGAAAATCCAATGCGGAATCACATTCAAGAGATAATGCCCACAAAGAAGGTGGGCAGATTGGAGGTTTTGGGTCTCAATCACATGGTGGGAATGACCAACACTACGTGAGAGGTTCACCCAGGAAGGGTGGTAACAATAGACCTCGTCCCCGAGGGGATGGAACTTATCATCAAGAACGTGGAAATCAGGATTGGAATCATAATAGAAGTTATGCAAACAGAGATGCTCACTTGCAGCCGCTAAGGGTGCCTTCAATGCCCTTCCTACATGGTCCACCTCCTCCCTCCCCTCCTTTTATTTCTCCTCTAATGCCTATGCGTCCCATGGGCTCTCACATGATGTATCCAGGTGAATTGCATTGCTTTTATGGTTCTCTGCTTAATTTTTTGTTTCCTTCCACTGAAGTTTTTTTTCTTTCCAGAAGTTCCTCCTCCGATGTATTATGTACCAGGGCCACAACCAGATCCGTTGGCAATGCCCATGCTGCCATCTCCGCCACCTGGTGTCCCAATGTTCTATCCTGTTCTAGATCCCATATTGGTTTCTAAAATTGTAAACCAGATAGATTATTACTTCAGGTGCTATCTTTACTATTTACTGGTTACTGTTTGGTTTATTATTATGAGTTCATGACTGCATAGTTGTGATTCTATTTAGAAGGTTCCCTGATACAATTGCTAACACCTGATTTTCATCTTACCTTGCAGTAGTGAGAATTTAATTAAAGATATGTATTTGCGAAAGGAAATGGATAAGCAAGGATGGGTTCCGGTTAAATTAATAGCGAGCTTCAAAAAAGTGAGTAGGTTGGAATGAAATATTTTGTCCCCGAGACCTTGGTTTTATTTATTTGCACATGTGAATCACCCTTTACAATCACCCCATATACATTTATGTCAGTTTCCTATCTAGTCGTTTAACTGGATAGTTGGTCTGGGTATGCACATGGTGTATGTAGTCTTTAACTTTGATGGTGTTGGTGGGGGCCTTCATCCATCAGGGGATTTTAATTGCAAAACTTCTCCATTATATGAAAGAGGTTTGCTGTGAGGGAACTGGTGTGATGCATCCCTGTTACACATTTTTGTGCATCCCTTTCCACCTTTGTGATTTCTAATGATCTGCATCATGTATTATTTTCCCTTTTTGCTCTCTAGTTTCCTGTGTAAATACCCATCTTTTGAATAATATAGTACTTTAGCATCCTGTAGTAATTTAGTACACCTACATTGATATACTATTAGGTGATTTTTTTACATTGCTGAGGTTAGCTTGGTAATTTCTTATGCCAGTAGATGCCACATTAATATACCCCTAAGCTTTTCTGTTTATAATCCTCTGCAATTTCTAAAGCAGTGCTGTACCAATATGTCTTCATTGGATTGCACCTGTATTCACCTCAACCATAAAATCTCCCATTGCATGCATTATTTGTTTAGCTGGAGGTTACACGCCTGCCTATGGGTGTTGTTTTGCTCACTGGAAACAATGTTGCAATTTGTGTTTTGTTGAAGCTTGGTTCTTTCGGACAATGTTATCTTTAGTCATTCTTTCCAGTCACAACGCTTTTATCTGTAGAGTATACTGTTGCAATGTACATTTTAGTTACATGCTGTAACACTTGTTTCTTTTCTGTCTATGGTATATAGGTTGCTGAGCTGACAGACGATATACAGCTTATTGTGAATGCTTTAAGAACTTCAAGTGTTGTAGAAGTACAGGTATTTTGGTTTCCTGTTTGGATGTTTTAATTTCTGAATAATCAGTTGCAATTTCAATTATAAAATATTTTGGCAATGACATGAAGTAGCTACTCCCTTCTGTCATTATAAGAGGATCAATTGACCAAGATATACAAACCAAGGAAAGCAGTTAATATTCTTGATATTTTTAAAGTTTACGATTTTCTAGTTTACCCTCTTTATTATGTCTCATGCATGAGTACTTTTAACAAATAAACATGATATATTCATATATATAAGGGACAACCATGAAAAAAACAATAAATACGTTAAGAAAATATAATTGCCCTATTAAAAGCTAAGTAGCATCGGGACGGAAACGGAAACGGAAACGGGGACGGGGAAACTCTAAACTCAAAATATCAAGATACGGGTACGGCAAGGAAACGTCAAACTAAAAATTAAAATTTTACTAGTATAAGTAATGTTTACGTCCAACAACTATGAAATAAGTAAACAAAACATTCTCTTTATTATAATGCATCATACATGCATAATAAATAAAATGAAAAAGTAAATGTTTCATTCCGTGATAAACACTCTCCAATGATAAATTAACAAGTGCAAATTTGTGTAACACACTCAAATTACCAGTAACATCAGTATGTTCCATATTTAATGACAATAGGAAGCACTTACCACAAATTAAAGAATCTAAAATTTTGAAACTTCCCCAAATAGGCTAATACGGCACTACCCAGACCCACTTTAACCCACGCGTCCAGCGAAGTAGAGCAGCAGGCAGCAGCAGGCCAGCAGATGGCTTTCACCGGTCACCAACTTCAGCAGTTCAGCATTAGGTTTCCCGTCGTCACCAGCGTTGCTTCAGTATTCAAGCCCTTAATTGCCGTCGAGTGATGCTAGAGTCGCAGACTACAAGCGAGCGTCGCAGGTTAGTTTTAATTTAAAAAAACGCGAATTGCCCAGCTCCAAATTGACCGACCTTGTTTTTGAGAAAAATAACCAGAAACGCCGTGGCCCAATTGAATTCCCGTTTCCGATACGTTTCCCCAAGCCGGCCCAAAAGCCCAAGTCATCAGAAACGTTTCTCCGCGTTTCCCTGCCGTTTCCCGGCGTTTCCTGGCGTTTCGCGTTTCCGAAACGTTTCCGGGACGGAAACTTGAGGGAGTTTGACGTTTCCGTGCATCCTAGATTAAAAGGACCTTTGATGAGAGTTTTTGATATTCCATAGTTTGATACTTCGAGTAACATGGAAAATGACTTGATATGTATGTGTATCATACACTTTGCTATGCAACTTCTGAAGGCATGGAGCAGAACACTACCTGAAGAACAGTGATTATTTTGAAATCCGTCCATGTGATAAATAAGACAATATTCATTTTATTCTTGATGGAGTATTAATTCTAGAGAGAAGTGAGAGCTAGAGAGAGAAAGTGAGTAATTATATTTCTCAATTGGGAAAAGAATCCCCTATAATTAGCCCCTTGGGGTCTATTTATAGGTAAAAATGTAGATTTGGGCCCCTAGCCTTGGGCTTAGGAGGCCCATTACAATAATCATGCCTTCTTTGGGCGAATGAGGCCACTAATGGGCTGAGTACAACACTTAGTACAAAAAATAGGAAAATACATTCTGCCCGGACGAAGTCCGGACGATGCGGTCCATGGACGATGCGGTCCATGGACGACGCGGTCCATGGACGACGCGGTCCATGTCCGGTGCGGTCCATGGACGATGCGGTCCATAAAAATCGGGCGATATCTTCTCTCTTGGACGCTACGCGCCTCTGGGCGATGCGGGTGTTCCGCTGGTGTCTTTTGGGCCGTTGGGTATGTGGGCCATGGGGTCCAGGCCCATATACTCTATCAGGAGTCCCCCACTCTCTGAGCTGAGGTGAAACCGAAGCGAAAGGGAGTACTTGTTCCTTTCTGGCCGGCCGTTGCGTGAGTCTAAGGCGTTTGATGGCCGAAGAGTTCCTGCTTTGATTTTTTGATGAAGCGGTTCCCTTATGTAGATGAAGCGTGATTGGGAACTCATAGCCTTGATGCGGGCCGATGCACTTTCTATGGAAGTGCTTTTGAAGACGAGGCGATGCGCTTTTCTTCTTTGTAGATGATGCGATGAATCCTTGGTGGATAAGTTGGCGTGCTTTCGTCGTCATCTTGTTGGGGCCGAAGAGTTCCCATCCATTCTTTTGGCCGTAGTGGTGACATATTTTCATGAGATGGAGATGGTTGATTCCATTTATGTAGACGATGCGATGCACGCCTTTGATTTGTCGAAGCGTTTTGTTTTGTGGGTTCTTGCTCTGGTGAGCCGATGCGGTCCCCCAGTGTGCGCAGCCGTTGCGTGCTTAGGTTTTGTATTTTGGGTTTTTTTTTATTTTGGGCTCTGCGGCCGATGTGACCCGCAACGCCATTGAGGTAGCTGACGCGACTCTTAATGCTTTTTTGAGGCGAATCGCCCGTCTTTTGTTGTTGGTGAGCCGTAGCGCATCCTTTTTGCATTAAGGCCGTTGCGTTTTTCCCTTGTGGCCGATGCAGTCCCCCAGTCCCCCACTCCTTTGGCCGAAGAGTATCTGAGGCACAAGGGAGTAATGAGCCGATTCGGTTCCTATGCGTCAGTCGCGACTCCAACCCTTAGGCGAACCTGTCCAAGGTAACCCTGTGGGAGAACCCTTGGACGAAGGCCGCAATGTCAGGGTTATCATCGACGATGCGCACACAAGCAGCCGTAGCGGTCTATTGAGCTCTGTAGTACTTGGGCCGTAGTGATACTCGGCCGATGCCCTGTTCTTTTTTAAGGCCGAGTTGGGCCGTAGGGGTGCTTGCTTGAGTGATTTTGAATTGGCGCCCCTTGATTGGTTGGAAGGGAGGTGGCCGTTGGTGGAGCCAATGGGATGGCGCCATGTGTAGTGACCGTTTGGAAGTTTTCTATAAATACCCCCTCATTCCGAAGCCTTACCCTCATTTGCGATTTGTTGAGCTGAATTGCTGCTGAGATTTCTTAGAGAGAGAAGTGCTTCCCAGAAATCGTCAAGTGTTCTTCAGATCTTCAAAAGTTCAAGGTTAGATTCTTGAATTTGTTCTTCCTTTTCTTTATATTTTGCTTCCTAGGGGGTTAGATCTAGTGTTTGTAGGAAAAACCACTTTGATCTTCGAACCGCCCTTAGGACGTAGCGATAGTTGTCATGCCGTTCCCTGACGGCCGTAGCGTCCCTTCCCCTATTGATTTGACAGCCTCCCTAGACGAATCGGACTGGCCTTTTGACGAGGACGACGCGTCTCCCCAAGTGGATTTAGACATCGTGGCAGCCTTTGAATTGGAGATGGAGAATACTGCAGACTATCGTACCTCAGTGGACGAGGAACGTTTGAGTGACGACGCGGGTTCTCACCACTCAGGTGAGGACGAAGCGAGTTCCGGGCCTAAGCTCCGAGAAGATGATGCGGGTGATGCTTCATCGGCCGCTATCCCCTGCCCTCCCCCAATTTCCTCTGTGCCTGGTGGGGCGTCGTCCTCTGGGGCGGTGAAGAGACGCTCATTGCGTCGGCGGAAAGGGTTGGCATCCGGGCTTTCTCAATTGGATTTGACCAACCTCTACGTCATAAAGCCGGAGAGTTCGCCAAGCGAATATCAGGTGGCACAGCTGTACGTGGGTCCTTACGGCCGGGTTAGGGCTCCCAAACCGACGGACCACGTCCTAAATCCTCCCCCAGGTTACTTTGGTGTGTATCCGATGAGCTTCTCTAAGGGTTTGAGGTTCCCCCTTCATCCTTTCTTGGTGGAATACCTGGGTATGATAGATCTCCCGCCGGCCTTGTTAACCCCAAACAGCTACTCCCTTATCGTCGGGTTCCTCCTCCGATGCGATGAGTTGGGGATTGAGCCGACGACGGCTTTGTTCATGAACCTTTACCGTATCGGCCGAGGGAGCCATGAGAACTGTGCTGGCTATGCGGCCCTTCAGCAACTGCCGAAGAAGAGGTCATTCACTGACCTTCCCTCATCGATTCATGGGTGGAAGGCTAAGTTTTGTTTCGTGAAGTTGGCCGATGGGGTCTTTTTCCCTTCTCAAGGTCACAATGGTGTTTTTAACCTGCACAATCCGCCGAGGAGTGCTGAGATTGATGCCCAAGTGGAGGCCTTCCTGAAGGGTGGGCCGTGGAGTGTAGATAAATACATTACTGAGTTTAAGATTGCTGCCCTTGGGATGATGCGGTACTTCATCCCCGGAGACCCTGATTGTGGACTGTGGCCGAGGATGTCTGGTTATTTCGAGGAGGCCGAAGGGCCTCACCTCGGTGTCCCCGCCGATGCCGAAGGTTGATCTCTTTTCCTTGACTCCCCTTGTGATTTTCTCTGCTTGTTTTTAACTCTTTTTGTTCTTTGCATCTGCAGACTTCACCATGAGTCGCAAAATGTTCATGGCCCAGGCCAAGAAGCAAGTTGCCAAGGAGATGGAAGCTGCTCAACAGGCCGAAGCTTCTAAGGGTTCAGGCGACGGCTCCAAGGGTCAAGCCGATGCTGCGAAGAAGGCGGCGGCCATGAAGAAGAAGAAGAGGCCCACCGAGGGTCAGCAGACCCTGACCGAAGCCGGGTTGAAGCCGGCCCGGGATGCTAAGAGGCCGAAGCAGGGTTTGCCCTCTGGTGATGCTGCTACGGCTGAGGCCCAAACTGCGGCTCAAAGAGAGCAGGTGTCTGATGTCCATGTGATTGAGGATCTGACTCTGAATGAGGCGTCGGCTGCCCTCGTCCCTACGTCTCTGCCTCCTGGCAAGAATGTCCAGGCAAGCTCCCGAAGCGGCCGCGACTTGGCCTCCGGATTGTACGAGGTGACCGTCAGGTACCCGACGAAGGGGGGCCTCTTCAATGAGAAGGTCTCCGGCCATGACGTCCTGTTCCAGGCCGTTCCTGACGAGGATAGGGCATACCTTCGCCGGCAAGGCAAGGAAGTGCGCCTCTTCGATGGTGGATTGGACTACGTCGTCCAAGTAAGTGTATGATTTTGTACT